CAGGAGAGACCGATTCTTGAAGGAGGACATTATGCTTTGAAGGGTGGATGGACAGGACAGTGCAGGAGAGAAAGACTCCAGGTGAAATGGATTGATAAAGTAAGTGGGACAACTGGAGTAAGTGTGTTGGAGTTAGTGTGACTGGCTCACAATTGGGCAGGCTTCAGAGCTGTTTTACATAGGTTCACTATGAGTTATAAGTGACTCAATGGCACATAACAACAACAACAGCAACAACAATTCGATTAGCTGATAAAACATTTTTGATAAAAATTTCCAATTAACAGTTCATTAGGCAATGACATCAGGAGGGTGGGTTAGGTCAAATGTAAACTAGGTAGAATTCTTAATTCAATTCTCATTGCTCTTAAGTTGGAACCTACTAATAGTTGACCCTTCATTACAGGGTTTTAAATTACACAGAAGACTGTCCATCTTTCTCCCATGGAGTTGGAAATTGTTGCTGAGGGATTCATCTGGCCAAAGGCAAAACCTTTGGATTAGCAGCAGTGCAACTCCTTATAGAATATGCTACCAGATCTCTCCAGTCAGAATGAAGGAGGTTTGAGGGTTTTTTATGTGTTAATTTAAATAATAGATATTCCTGATGGTCCAGATAGTTAAAATGTTTGGCTGCTCACTCAAAGACTGGTATTTTGGGGCCATCCAGAGGTGACTCAGAAGAAAGTTCTGGGGGCCTACTAAAATTAGCCACTGAAACCCTAGGGAAATGTTTCTACATGGACACATTTGGGGTTGCTAAGAGTTTAAATGGACAAAAACTGGATTTTTTCTTAAATTTATAAAAACAGTAACTCAGATACTTTTGCAAAAGTTGATGTTGTTAGATGCCATTGAACACAATCCATAGTGACCCTATGAATAACAGATCAGAACCTTGTCCTGTCCTGTGCCAACCTCACACTTTCTGACACACTCAAGTCCATTCCAGGAGTCACTGTGTCAGTCCACTTGCTTGAGGGTCTTCTCTTTCACCATTTTTTTACCTTTCTAAGCAGTATTCCTCTCCAAGAATAGTCTCTCTTAGCAGCATGCCCAAATATATGAGACAAAGCTTTATCATCTTTGCCTCCAAGGAGCACTCTGGCTGCACTTTCTCCAAGACATATTTGTTTTTTTCTTTTGGAAGTCTATGGGATATTCAGTACTCTT